AGATGAGTAGCAAGTAAACACCCTAACCCCCACTGGGCCCACATGGATGACACCGTTCCGGGAATACCCTCAAAGAGGAGTGTTGCCGGACGATCATGATGAGGCTAGGAAAATACATATAAAAGCGCCTTCATACGCAATGGTGAATGGAGAATTATACGAGAAGGGGTTCACGTCTCCATGGTTAAAATGTGTGGATCAGGCCAAGGGGGGGGGGGAGATATTGCAGGAGGCACACTCAGGACATGTGGGTGCACACGAAGGGGCGAGGGGCTTGACAGGCAAGGTGTTAGGAATGGGGGTATACTAGCCAATGATACAGTAGGATGCGATAGAAGTAACCAGGAAATGTGGGGAGTGTCATTCTTATGCCCCAATCCAGGCAAACCCCCCGGCCCCGCTAAGCAACATATCCAGCCCATGGCCTTTCTACCAGTGGGGCATAGATATAGTGGGTCCATTCCCAGAAGCACCAGGGAAACTAAAGTTTATGGTGGTAGTTATGGACTACTTCACAAAGTGGATTAAAGCTGAGCCTCTGGCGTGCATATCTGGGAGGCACATGATAAAATTCGTATGGAAATACATCATGACAAGATTCGGAACACCTAAGGTTTTCATCAGCAACAATGGATTGCAGTTTGCTAAGAACCTGTTCAGAGAATGGTGCACCGCCAAAGGGATAAGCCAACGCTTCACATAGGTGGCACACCCTCAAGCGAACGGCCAAACGGAGGTGTCCAACCAAACCATTATCAATGGGATTAAGAAGAGGTTGGGCAAAGCAAAGGGGAATTGGGCAGAAGAGATACCAATGGTGATGTGGTCATACATAACTACACCACAGAAAAGCTCAAAGGAAACCCCTTTCAGCTTGATGTATGGAACCAAATCCATGCTTCCCATGGAGGTGACAACGAACACACTGAGGGTGGCCAACAAGGTTGAGGAAAGCAACATAAAAGGCCTAAGGATAAACCTAGATATCCTAGAGGAGAAGCGTAAAGAATCGGGTGTATGCCAAGCCACGTATAAACATGCAACAGAAAGATATTACAACCAAAGGGTAAAGGAGAAGGCCTTCAAAAGAAACTTTTAGTAGAGGTACTTCGAGAAAGGATTATAGATGAGTAGCAAGTAAACACCCTAACCCCCACTGGGCCCACATGGATGACACCGTTCCGGGAATACCCTCAAAGAGGAGTGTTGCCGGACGATCATGATGAGGCTAGGAAAATACATATAAAAGCGCCTTCATACGCAATGGTGAATGGAGAATTATACGAGAAGGGGTTCACGTCTCCATGGTTAAAATGTGTGGATCAGGCCAAGGGGGGGGGGGAGATATTGCAGGAGGCACACTCAGGACAGGTGGGTGCACACGAAGGGGCGAGGGGCTTGACAGGCAAGGTGTTAGGAATGGGGGTATACTAGCCAATGATACAGTAGGATGCGATAGAAGTAACCAGGAAATGTGGGGAGTGTCATTCTTATGCCCCAATCCAGGCAAACCCCCCGGCCCCGCTAAGCAACATATCCAGCCCATGGCCTTTCTACCAGTGGGGCATAGATATAGTGGGTCCATTCCCAGAAGCACCAGGGAAACTAAAGTTTATGGTGGTAGTTATGGACTACTTCACAAAGTGGATTAAAGCTGAGCCTCTGGCGTGCATATCTGGGAGGCACATGATAAAATTCGTATGGAAATACATCATGACAAGATTCGGAACACCTAAGGTTTTCATCAGCAACAATGGATTGCAGTTTGCTAAGAACCTGTTCAGAGAATGGTGCACCGCCAAAGGGATAAGCCAACGCTTCACATAGGTGGCACACCCTCAAGCGAACGGCCAAACGGAGGTGTCCAACCAAACCATTATCAATGGGATTAAGAAGAGGTTGGGCAAAGCAAAGGGGAATTGGGCAGAAGAGATACCAATGGTGATGTGGTCATACATAACTACACCACAGAAAAGCTCAAAGGAAACCCCTTTCAGCTTGATGTATGGAACCAAATCCATGCTTCCCATGGAGGTGACAACGAACACACTGAGGGTGGCCAACAAGGTTGAGGAAAGCAACATAAAAGGCCTAAGGATAAACCTAGATATCCTAGAGGAGAAGCGTAAAGAATCGGGTGTATGCCAAGCCACGTATAAACATGCAACAGAAAGATATTACAACCAAAGGGTAAAGGAGAAGGCCTTCAAAAGCGAATATGTTTTGAGGAAAAATGAGGCAAGCCGAGCCCAACCTCAATGAAAGTTGGGCCCAACATGGGAAGCCCCATACAGAGTCACGAAGGCAAATAGGAATGGTGCATACGTGTTAGAGACAATGGAAGGAAGGACCGTTCCAAGAACATGGAATGCTAGGAACTTAAAGAAATATTTTTTCTAAGGCAAGGAAAAGGAAGGAAAGGGAGGCAACCCCAGTTGGTTGACGTCTCAGTGTATCACACCTGAAATACTTAGAGTATATTTGTTCATGCTAAATGACATGAACCTGATACTTAGTGTATTTAAAATTCCATGCTAAGAGACATGAGTTCAATACTTAGTGTATATATAATTCCATGCTAAGAGACATGAGTCCAATACTTAGTGTATTTAAAATTCCATGCTAAGACACATGAGTTCAATACTTAGTGTATATATAATTCCATGCTAAGATACATGAGTCCAATACTTAGTGTATTTAAAAATACCATGCTAAGCGTCATGAGTTCAACCCTTAGTGTATTAAAAAAAACCCGCGGTTAATGAAATGATAATGCAATTGCTGATTTTTATATACTTATTGTATTAGTCTAATGATTGAATGATTACATGTGAAATCCAATAATGGATGCTAAGTGCGTCCAATATGGAAACTTAGTGTGTCAATGGTAGCAAGGGCAAAGCAAAGTGCCCGGCACAACAAGGCGTTGTATATCCTGAATAATGCGCAGTAAACGAGCAAGCCAAACACAAAACAAAACAGGTAGACAATAGATAATGCCTAAAACATGCCAAATATACATCTAGGAAAGCAAAATACTATTTTAGAAGTTCAAACATTACAAGGCAAAACATCACACACTAAACTAACAGAAAGAGAGAAATCTTACGACTCCAGACGATCCCCACGAACATCTTTCTCACTTGCCATAGCCTCATCCCCAACACTCTTTCCAGCATTTTCCCCAACCACCCCACCATCGCCTTCTCCATCATCCACAACTACCTCACTAAAGTTGCCATCACCAACACTCGCCCCAAAATCACGCTCACCACCACCACCAGACCCATGATCCTTACCATAACCTTCCATGTTAGCACCCATCACCAGCACCATCTCATGACCCACAATACTCTCAGGCGTACCCTCTGAACCACCAAAGGAGCATAACTCTCACAAACCTTCAATACCCACCTCCCCCAAACCTAACATACTTGCATGATCCATACTAGCGAAGGACAAAAGAGCATCATTTATACTAACCACGAAACCAACAGTCGACGCACCAACAACTGCCTCCCCACTCCCACCGCCACCTGAAGTCTTCTGAACAGACTCAACCCCTACCATGTACACAGCATGGTGGTTAAGACTGATGGCATTGGTAAAGTCAGGGTGCTCTATCAATTTATCAACAATACGAACAACGCCGATGTGCAACAACCAATCCAAGTCTCGCCGAGCAGCGTCCACATCTAACTGCAGTGACGATATAAGCTTGTTGCGATCGACAGCATCACGCTCAAGACTTTCAACCTGGATCATTAAACCTTCATTCATTTGTGTAAGAGAGTCAACCTTGGCTTCCAATGCATCCCTAGCCTCGTCAAGAATGTTCTTATCAGATGCTAGCAACTCACATTTCTTCTCAGAAGAACGAAGATCATCACCAAGCTCACTCAGACGATGCTCCAAACTAGCCACGCGATCCACAGGTGGCGTGTGTGGCCTCCACCTCGCCAAGGGTATGGATACGCCAGGAACCTGCAACAAGATAAAACATGGCATGTGCAGTAGCGTAATCCATATTATGAGCAAGGGTAACATTACCCATCACCTCCATATACCCAACTGCAGCTGGAGGGAAGGCGTGGCACGAGAATTCCAAAGCATTGGCACGCACAAAAAGACGAGAATCATTGCGAAGATCCCAAGATGGCACAAAAATCGTAGACCCAAAAGCACCATCACCAGGGCCACCAGCTTTGGAAACTGTAACCGCCCATGGGGGCCAAAGCCCTTCACCGGAGAAAGCTTGGAGGGAACAAACGGAATAGTCGGAGAAGGAATGGAAGAAAAATCTGAAATAACGGGCTGTTCAGTCGGCCTGTTCATTCCCTCAGACTGTTGCGCCTCATCATCGGGAATCACAACCACGCCAGTGGATGTGGAACTCACTGGTGTGGAACTCATCGAACTCAATAGGCGAGAAAAGTTGCGCCTAGTATGCACTCTCTTGGTGGCAGGGGGACCACCAGTAACCGGCTCGCCCATAGCTTACATAGCTTTCCGTTTCACCTGCATCCACCGAACATCAGCAATGATACCTTCTTTTCTATCTTCACTGTCTTCCAGGGAGGAAGAGGGAACGCCGCCCAGGGGCATGACAGAGGAGATGGGGCGAGCGTGCAATGAATCCTCCTTAGACGCCGATAAGCTTACTGGAGGAACAAGACGAGCAGTGGTCAGAGCAAGCCGGTCTGCCTGGTGAGGAGGGGGAAGGCTGTCGACCAGGTCTACCTCACGAAACTCCAATTTGCCCCGATAGCGCTTACACAGCACCTCATCCATACACAAAGAAGACTCAGTGCCTGGGGGAAAGCAGAATGGAAATATTAAAAACATGGAAGCAATAAGGAGAAACAAGAAAAGAAAAGGGGGAAGATACTACACTGACCATCAGCGACGGAGAAGAACACCGCCATCTTGCCATGTCGCCTCCAAGAAGGACTCATCCCCACCCCAGAAAGAAGTGCCTCATAGTAATCCTCGGCGGATACCTACACACTCTTCAGATAATCGGCAACACCCTGGTTGTGGTGGAAAAGCTTAGGAATGGTATCAGAGAATGCATTGGCACGGTAGCGGCCACTTCCAACCAGCTCCTGATTCATCCATAACCACTTATCCTTCCAGTTCTTAGGGGTACACCCATCGGGAACTAAGGCGTGTCCCCCTCGCCAAACTGAGATGGTACATTTGTCTCCGGTGATGCATAATCGAAAGAAGAACTTGAAGACAAAGTAGTCGGAAGGTACCCGTTTGCCCTACAGATCATCTCAAAGGCAACCACTTTGTTGACAGCATTGGGGGTCAACATCTGAGAATACAGCCATCCTTTTGAAGGACTTCCTCCTGAAATTCTGTCAGTGGAAATCGTATACCGGCATCCAGGGTTTTCAGGAAAACCCCAATTTTCCCAGGGGGAGGGGAAGAGATTCTAGAGCCAGGAGAGGGAAATTCCACACCTTCTAAGGAGGATAAGCCATACGTGGTCTCCAATTGTCGATACTCAGCAGTAGAAGGGACGATTCCGGGAAGGTTAGCCATGAAAGGGAAAGAAGGATGAGCACGTAGAGAAAGGGAGGAACAGATGAAGCGAAACAAATTGTGCAAATACCCTTTTAAAGAAGGGGAAGAAGCGGGACATTTAAATGTCTGACATAATGACGTAATTGCCAGTAGTTATGCGCAGTCACGTCGCCATTAAAAACGGAGTGGCGGATAAAGGAAAACGAACGCGCGTCAATCAATTAAGTCCAAAATGTCGTAACTAGCGCTACAACGCTACAGCTACTGGACTGGGGGACTTGATGGTGTGCCTAGGGCAGCACAGCAGAGCCGCCTCCAAGCCCTAGAGCCGAGCACACCAGCCAGGCCCAGCCCATCAGGCTCAGCGCCGCCTGGCGCCCCCGGGAGCGAAATGCCCAGGCGGAAGGCTCGCACACGCCAAGTGACGCTCCTTGCTCCAAGACAAAAGGTACGTCAGGAGACAAACAGTAGGATTAGAGCATTACCATCGGAGCCAATGAGAGGGCTCTAGCGGTTGAGGGCGTACAACCCTCTAATCAGCGCCTCTGATCTTATCTCCCCAAAAGTGATCCTGTCTGGTACGGACCAGGCAAGAGTGTTAGGTATAAAAAGGATGCACTCTCAGACTAGCGAGGTAAGTTCTCTGGCCCTTCTAGAGAACGCCTACACAAACCCTAAATCATCCCCTAACTTGACCGTCGGAGCATTCTTCCGGGAGCCCCTCCCGGAAAGCAGCTCATAGCTCTTGTTCTCTGTGATCTTGCAGTGATAATCAGGCAACCAAGAAGATTTCATCCATGAAGCAGAAGCAAGGTCTTACGAGGGACAAGGTTCCATCATTCATGGTTTAAGATGATTGTAACCGTGAACTGTTCTCGGCTGTGAACAGATTTCGCCCCTTGAATGGTTTACGGCCCTTGAGTGATTTACTGCCTGTTCGTGGTGTTCTTGAAGAAAATATGAAGTTTTGAAGGGTTCACGGCTGTTAACCTGAAATGAAGGATGCTTGATTTTGATGAAATGATGAATACTTGATGTTCCAAAACAAGTTCCAATGCGATTTTCGGATGGTAGATGAGAGAAATCTTGAGTTTTCGATTGGTGGTTTTAGAGAGAGAAACTAGTGTTTTCGGCCAATCTTGTAGAAATAAGGGCATGCGTGTGTGTGTGTGTGTGTGTGTGTGTGTGTGTGTATATATATATATATATATTACTACCAGAGGTGGGTCACCCACCATGAACGTTTTATGGTTGTTTTCGGGTTCTCGACCGTGAGCACTAGGATGGACGAGACTTGGCTGTTTTTCAAATAAAAACTCCAGTTTTCGTGCAATTTTGGTTCCGACTCTTATATAAAATTTAATTATATAAATTAAATGATTTTCTAAACCATAAAAATTTGACTAAACAAACAAAAATCAAAAAAAAAATATTTAATGGAATTTTGACTAACGTTGACGGAAAAATGTTCGGGTTGTCACATCATCCCCCCGAGTGAGGGAATTTCGTCCCGAAATTCTAACATAGAATACAAATCATGAACTTGGAAGAAGATGTGGGTACTTCTATTGCATTGAATCTTCTCACTCCCAAGTGAATTCAGGTCCCCACTTGACATTCCAGCGGACCTTCACTATTGGTATGCTACTTTGATTTGTTCGTTTGACTTCCCTGTCCATGATTTCGACTGGTTCTTCCAAGAAATTAAGGTTCTCATTGATCTCGATCTCATCAAGAGGGATCACAAGGGTTTCGTCGGATAAACACTTTTTAAGGTTTGACACATGGAAAACGGGATGAATGTTGCTAAGCTCTTGGGGTAAATGAAGTTTGTATGCTACGGGGCCGATCCTAGCGAGAATCTCGAATGGTCCAATGAATCTCGGATTTAGCTTTCCAAAGCATATCACGCCCTCCAAGGTGAGACCTTCAACATAACACAGTCACCAACCTAGAACTCTAAGGGTTTTCGTCTTCTGTCGGTGTAGCTCTTTTGTCTATCCCTGGAGGCTTTCAGTCGTTCTAGGATTTGTACGATCTTTTTGGTGGTTTCTCGTATGATTTACAGGCCTGTGAGAGTGATTTTGGGGACTTTCCATTTAGCTAGTTGCGTGTCACCCACCTCAGACCATCACAGAAGGGATCTGCACTTAAGGCCTTAGAGGGCTTTAAACGATGCAGCCTTGATACTGGTATGATAATAGTAGTTGTAGGAGGACTCGTCCAAGGGAAAATGGGTGTCACACAACTTTCCAAAATCTATAACACATGCCCTCAAGTCAGTGACTAACAAAAGCCTTCTTAAGTGACTAACAAAATCTAGCTTACTTCCAAGATCCTTCTTCAGTGACTAACAAAATCTCGAGGTGAATTTGCTATCTCGATCGGAGATAACAGACACCAGCACACCATGCATACGGACTATCTCCTGAATGTAGGTTCATGTCAGTCTCTCCATCTTGAAGGTTTCTTTGATTGGAAGGAAGTGGGCGGATTTAGTCAATCTGTCGACAATTACCCAGATGGTGTTGTACCCACTCGGAGTCTTGGGAAATTTAGTGATGAAATCCATTGCAATTCTTTTCCACTTCCGCTCAGGTATTTATGGTTGTTGAAGTAGACTTGAGTGCTTTTGATATTCCACCTTCACCCTGGCGCAATTCAGGAACTTACCCACGAAGTTAGTGATCTCTGCTTTCATATTTGACCACCAATAGAGCTTTTTGAGATCTAGATACATCTTATCCGAACCTGGGTGAACGGAGTATCGAGTCCTGTGAGCTTCGCTCATGACAACCTCCCTATAACCGCCGGAATTTAGGGTCTAGATCTGGTTCATGAAATAGTAGAGCCCGTATCCCTTGATCTCTAAGTTCTTTTCCATTCCCCTCAAAGCTTCATCCGACATGTTCTCTGGCTTCAAGGCTTCTAGCTGAGCCTCTCAGATTTTAGCGGATAGGTGGGAATGGATGGTCATAGTCAGTGACTTCACTCTGTGTCACACCACAAAACCGGAACGGCAGAAACGTTCTCAGGCGGAGGACGTCATGTATAGTATCATAACAATGCAAAGTAGTAAAATAAGCAACAACATCATCCATTTCATTAATAGTATAATTTCATACAAGTGTGTTCTTTTCATAGTAATAAGACACCAAATTTAGAGACTCTCAATGAATGGAAGATTGTTTCCACTACTTCACTACAACTCTAGAATTTAGAGACTCTCAATGAATGGATGATTGTTTCCTTTAGACACAAATCCATACATTCAAACTGATTTGGAATCAGAAGAAATAAGATATGAATGTTTTCTTTGAATTTTATTTTGATGTTGACCTTTTTTTTCTTGATTGGTAGTGATGGTGGTCTATGGCAACGTTGATGGTGGTTATGCGAGTGGGGTGACGTATTTATAGTAATTTACATTAATTTATTTATATAATTACTAAATAATAAAGAAACAATAATAAAATTGAAAAAGAAATATAAATGGCAATATAGTTTTTTTGTGTATGCTATTGACAAAGACCATAACAAAATAATACTAGGACGGCCAGAATGCAAAATAAAAGTTAGGAATAGTAATTTATTCATTATTAAATTAAATGTAATATGAATTTATTATTATTATTGATTTATCAAACATTATTGTATATAAAATTATACTGTGTTTGTATAAAAATAATATAAATGTGTCGCCCATATTCAAACCATTGAACCCTTCATCGGTGATGAAACTTTGTTAAACTCTTTCATATAACTGGCCAAAATCTTTCGTGTATTGAAATTTTTATGTCCTCCATTCAATATCTCTTTAGCACTAATTGTAGATGTTGTTAGGTCGTCAAAATTTTCCATCTTGATCAATATTCTTAAAATCATTTTTAAGGATAACGGGACTAAGATTTTTTTTCTCCAAAATGTTTTCATTAAACTAAAGAAGTAAAATCGAAAAATATATGACATCAATCCCAAAGCTCTTCCAGTTACATCATATGTTAATTATTTAAAAGAACAACCACAATGGTGCAATAATAGACATAGCAGATGTGCATGCGGTACTATTTCCTGAATCATGGAACAACATCATAGCTCCAAATAATATTTAAGAACCCAAATTTTGTGGAAAAATATCAAAAGTCTAAGGTCGCCATCGCCCATTCTCCCTTCACCAACCAAACGAAAAAACATGCTCACCATTTACCAACATCATATGACGTAAAGAGTTTTGTCCATGTAAACATTCTTCTGTTAAAAGGCTATATATAATGCAAACTTGTCATTTATAAGAAAAAAGTCTTATGTGTTATTTGTTCAATTGTGGAAGGATGTTGTGGTATATATTGTTATTTCAGGTGTTTACTTCGCGGGTTGTTTAACTCGGATCCGGGTTTGCCCCGGTGTATATAAAGTTAATTATCCTTCATTTGCGTAGTTCAGATTACAGATTCACTCTCTCACAAAGATTGTTCGCTATAGTTTTAGGGTTTGTAATAGCGTTTCAGTTCATATTCTTTTGATCTTGTTCTTGTTGTTCATTAGATAGCTGAGTGTTATTGTAGTGAGGATTTCTGTGTAATCTGTATGATGAAAAACCAACTGTTTCATATATAAATGAAATGTTGATGTTGGGAAATTATGAGTTTATGTTTTCGTACATGGTATTAGAGCTATAGGGTTCTTCGTCTTCGTGGTTGATGATCATCGAAGGTTTATATCTTCAATTGGTGTTCATCGGAGGCTACTTCATCTGAAGACGTCATAAGAGGTTGTTTCTACTTCTTATGTTCTGTTTCTTTTAGATCTGTTACTAGATCTGATTTGTTCTGTTGATCGATCGGTTTTTTTCTCTCCGATTGAGGTTCTTTTATCATTTTCTTCTTTATTGTTCTTCGATCTTGGTACTGTGAGTTTTTTTGTGGTTCATTGCAGGTGGTTGAACCTGATTTGTATTCTGGCCGTGTGATAGTGGAACATCGGAACTCGCAATAAACGACACTCCATCAATTGATCAA